TAGATGAAAATTTTGAAGATGAAAGGGACGACAGACTTGGTGATGAAATGGATGTTGGGGGATGAAACTAATGAAACTAATTTTGGAGATGTTTTGGTTGAAACTAATGCCGAGGATGTTAGGAATGAAATGCATGAACTTGATGTTGCATAGCTTTCTTTGAATTCGGGATTGAGAGTTCCAATACAGAATTATGATACTAATGTTCAAGATATAGTTCGAAGAACATACGTTTAAAGGGATCCTAGTCAGCCTCGCAATCATGAATTTTCACCTACAAGAATGGGTAACAAAGATATGAGATTTTGTGTTACATCGTATACTGAGCATCCTAGTTGGATAGAATACGACATAGCAAAAGATGCTGTATTTTGCTTCTACTATTATATTTATTTGTTAATGATGGGTTCTCAAATTGAAAAAAGAAAGAAAATATTAAAAAATCCCCAGCAAAATCAAGTAGTGCACACAATCGGACTTGGTTCATATATGAATCATTCAAGAATTAAGAACAAAACATTCAATGATGTTTCTTTAAGCAATTTGTTACGTTAAAACTCATAAGCGTACGAGATCGTTGACAAGTAATACAAATGGGTGAGTTTCGAATCTATCATTCTCACTAGGAATAAGGTCTAATATCTCGTTCAATAACTTTTATCAAATTCGAAGTTATGTAATATTAAAAGAGATGATTTGTATGTTTTCTATACTAATCCTAAACTAAGAAAGCAAATAAAGTATTTACCTAATATGTGAATGTTTGTATTGGAATCTTCAATATCCTTATTACCATTTAATTCAATTCTTAATTCGTAATCTAGTAAATTCATGCATTCAAGTCAATCGTAATTCACTTTTATTCAATATTATTTTCCAAGATATCTTAAACATATGTTTAACACGATTCAATCATATTCTTAGTCCAAATTCATATGAAAAATATGTATTTATTCACAAGATTTATCACACATGATTGCACATGTCATAGATATTATTTCTAATACATATTGTCCATGTGTTGATTTTGCTGCGTCTTAGACTTATTATGAGTATTTTTACACTACAATAAGTAACTTACTATCTAATTGGTGATCAAGCAATCAAATAGTTCAATGTGAATGCAAAAATCAATCAAGAAATACTAAACTAATTGTCTTGAATTGAAATAAACAAACAATAGTGTTCATCATTCATCCTATACAAAGGAAAAACTAGCCTATCATTCTATTAATTAAATTATGCAAGATAATATGGAAAAATATCACCCTGGATCAAGAAAAGATGGCTTTAATGAAATCTTTATTTTGGTTGAATAATCTTCAAGAATCATTAATGAACTGCCTTAGTTTGATGATCAAGCGTCGTGAAGTCCTCAAAAATATGTATAATATAGAGATTTTTAGTTCTAAGGAGGTCTCATCCACATTTTGGACGTGTTATGGTATTTATAGGATGCCAAAATATTGTTTCCAAGTAGAGTTTTAACGAAATAAGGAAATTGATTTTTTTTTGCCCATAAATGCACTATGCAACCGTATAGTGCAAATGGTTGCGACTGCATAGAACAACCAATTTGAGGCTCATTCATCTATGAGATTGTTGTATTTTAGTCCTCAAACTCTAGATTTCGCCATTTTTCACTATTTTTGGTTCGTTTTTCTCCAATTCTTCAATCAAACATGAGATTTACCTATTAAACATGAAATAACAAAAATTAGGTAATATTTTCCCCAAATAATAATAAAATGCTATAATCTAAGGCCCCGAATATGTGTAGAAATTAAACCTATCACAATCATATTAAACTCGAAATTAATATCGAATTCATTTGAATTAGTTAATTGATTGTGTTCGATTTCTTATACGACAAGTGACGGCCTCTTGTGGACATGATGAATCTGAAGATTCAAATAATCAAAGGAACTTTCTTGAATTATTGAATTGGTTATGTGATTATAATGCCGAGATTAAGGCTATTGTTTTGACGAATGCTCCTAAAATGAGTTCAAAAAGATATTGGGAGTGACATTGCTTCTGAAACTCCAAATGTGATTATCAAAGATATTTGTGATTATTTGTTTTCTATTCTAGTTAATGAATCCTGTGATACTTTAGTGAAGGAGCAAACATCATTTATTTTTCATTATGTGAAGAATAGGTGTGTTTTGGAACGTTTTATTGGTATCACAATTGTCTCACTTAAGGTTGGAATTGATAAGTTATTCTCTAGGCATAGCTTAAGTATATCTAATTAGAGAGGTCAAGGATATGATGGAATTAGTATTATGTGAGGTAAATATAATGATATCAAAGCACTTATTTTGAAAGAAAACCCAAGTGCTTACTACATTCATTGTTTTGATTATCAATTTCAACTAACTCTTATAGTTGAGGTAGAGAAACATCCAAAGATTGAAACCATCTTTACTTTTAGTACACAGATTGATGAATGTTGTTGGATGATAGGCTAAATGGTGTGATCTTTTTTTAGAGAAACATAGACTCAAAATTCTTAAAACACTCAATGCAGGCGAAATATTAAATGGATGGGGGCTCAATCATGAAACTACTCTTAAGCATTTTGGTGATACACATTGGGGGCTTCACTACAGTTGTTTAATTAACTTGATTGTCATATTTTTAATTAGAGTTGATGTTGAGATGATTGCGACTGATACTATAACTTTTGGAACAAGAGGTGATGCATGTATTTTATTGGAGTCGACATTAAAATCTGAATCTGAATTTGAATAATTAGATGTAGAGTACTTTTTCTTTTTGAGAATTTCAAATGAATTATCGAAAGCATTACAAAGGAAAGATCAAAATATTGTCATACCATGAGATTTGTGAAATTATGTAAAATACACTTCGAACCATGGAGTATGATGGATGAGATTCTTTTTTGAAATGGTTTGTTAATTTTGTGAAGCTCAAAAGACCAATGTTCCCAATATGGAAAATATAATCATAATTCTAGGTCATTCATGGCGTGACATGGTGACAAATTTGTGTCACTTTCATGTAGAAGTGTTTTATGTCGTCATTGATATGCAATTTCAAAAGTTGAATGATTGTTTTTATGAGGTAGATAGTGACTCTCCTTTGTGTTGTGTGTTTGTGTTCAAATAATTCATTTGTTATTTTTGTCAAAAACAAATTTATTCGATTATGTGAGTATTATTTGGTAGATTTTGACGTAACAGATATTTCAGAACTTGATGATCAACTTGATACATATATTCTTACATGTGTACTGGCGAAAATTTTGGAAGATTATAAGGTCTTAGTGATCTTGTACAAAAGTTGTTTGTGAAAAATAAATATGAAGTGTATCCATTAGTCAAGAAAGCATTCTTTTGCAATGACTTGAGTTAAGAATCGTGTGCGCAATCGAATCGGAGATCATAGATTAGATGATAGTTTGATTGCAAAAATTAAGAATGATGCATTTGACAATATTGAAACTGTTGTAATTATGGAACGTTATCGAAGTATGAAAACGCGTAGAGAACGATTTTAGGGCTTGTTTGTTGCTCATTTTGCACTCCTATTTTAGAAAAAAGTGAGAACGTTACATGGCAATCCACTAACAATGCACATGACATGTTATTATACACATACAACTTTTTACACCCCAATCCCTTTACTACCCTCTATAGTAAGCACTCCAACTACATGGGTTGTTGAAGGCAAATGAGGGTATTTTGGGAAAGTTAAAAATTGCACTAATCAATTCAAAATGAATGTCAGCACGTGGGACCCTATGTTGGTAATGGGGTGAAAATGGGAACCAGACGAGGGTTTAATAGGATATCAAATGTTTTGATGTTTTTCACAACTTTTTTTCATGTTTGATTGTGCTCCTAATTCAAAGTGTTTGCGTCTGCCACTATCTTTTACTATTCTTGGCATTTGTTTTAGGTTATTTTCTGTCCAAGATTTTTCATCCAAATATTGCATTGTTAGATTTGTGTAAATGCCTTGAAGAAGGATTGGAATCCAAGCCTTCGGATACGACATGTTTTAACTGTAAGCTCTGTTAGTATTATACATTTTCATTGAAGTTTAAATGGTTTTTGTTTTGCTTTTTAATTTTTCTTGCAAATAACAGAGTCGTGTAAGTGCAACTTTCTTCATTGGGTGGGTGTTCATGTTTAATGACACTTGTTTGCAATTTTTTTCCATTTCAACTTTTTAATTGACAGGTGATCATATTCTTATTGATTGAACAATTTCCAGAATCAGCTTTAAATGTCTCGTCAACTTTTATTGCCAGCACTAGTATTTCGCTCTTCCATTTGTATGTAGATTCATCTTGTTACTGTTTCTATTATATGCTTATTTGTAGAAATGCTACCTTGATAGTTTAGGGAGATCTTGACAAGTGATTGGACTACTCAAATATATTTTGCTGTTAAACAATTAGTTGGGCTTGTTGATGTCTTCAATTTTCTGTCTAGTTAGTTTGACACCTTATAGTTCGGAGTCCTTAAGCTGGGGCCAAGGTGTATTTGTAGGGATGGCGCTTCTAGGAGATCAAGTTGAATCCCATGTTTTCTTTTGGTTTGTGCTTGTTGACATTGTATATTGGTGGGAACGTTCGGTTCCACCTGACCAAAACTTGCCGAAGATTTCTGTTTCCTTGTACATAATGTCTTAATAGAAACTTGTAGACGCCTAGACGGGTATATCTTATTGAAATTTGACAAGCGCACTGGATATAATAAAGCTTTGTCAATGTCATATGCTCTATACATCTGATTTCAAGCCAATTTCCTGGTTTTAAAATTGCATTCAAGCGACAATCGAAGTTCAAAACTGGAGGAATTTCTGACTCTACTGCTGCCCTAAATGTTGAACAGAAACACCTCAGTTAAGGGCGTCGGCCAGAAGAATGCAGTATGCGATTTGCCCCAAAACCGAGAAATGGTGAAGATCAGCCAACTGCACTAACTTCATCAACTGAGACGGGAGTGAGTGGATTAAAGTCGCCTTCAGTGGTGACACATAAGGAAGTTGGACCGGCAAAAGTTCTGGTAGACAAAAAGAAATTTGATGCGAGTAAGAAAAAAAAAATTCTTTTATTCCAACCCGAAGAGGCTAGTACCGATAAAATTCCCAAAAGGATGAGCATTTAACAAAGCAACTTCATTTAACAAAGCAACTTTGTTGGATTAGTCAAGGTCCTTATGGAATTGGCAAACGGAAGAGAAATTTAAATTGTTGAAAAATAACAGTAGTAAAAAGGAAATATTACATAAACATTACAAACCATGAAAATCATCGAGGTTTGAACTTAAAACCAGAAAATGAAATAATGAAAACAGAAACCAACTACAGTACTCGACCCTATTCATCAAATTCTTTTTTCTCTCGTTCAGTTTTGTTCTTATTTTTAATTCATGAAATCTTTCTTGGGACATTACTTTGCCATCATCACCTTGACAAACTCTTCATAATTGATTTGTCCATCACCATCAACATCAGCTTCCCTAATCATCTCGTCTACTTCCTCATCTGTCAGCTTCTCACCAAGATTGGTCATCACGTGGCGCAGCTCAGCAGCAGAGATGAAACCATTCTGATCCTTGTCAAAAACACGGAAAGCCTCTTTAAGCTCCTCCTCAGAATCGGTATCCTTCATTTTCCTGGCCATAAGATTCAAAAACTCCGGGAAGTCAATGGTTCCATTACCATCGGCATCAACCTCGTTTATCATGTCCTGAAGCTCGGCCTCAGTCGGATTCTGCCCCAAGGATCTCATTACAGTACCGAGCTCCTTGGTCGTGATGCAACCTGAAAATTAACATTCCTTAAAAGTTATCACAAGTATAAAGTCTTAATGGAATCTATGATCCAAGTACTAATTTAGATCAAAGAAAGGTACAAATTCTAGAGAAATAGATCTGATACAGAAACAAAACACCCATATTCAATATACACAGATATAACAACAGAAAGAAAGATAGGAAAATAGCGAACCATCGCCGTCTTTGTCGAATAGGCTGAAGGCCTCCTTGAACTCAGAGATCTGATCATCTGTCAACTGATCTGCCATTTCTTCTACTTAAAAATCTTTTCTTTTATCGCCCTCGAACAATTTCGCTCAGCTTTTTTCGAAAAAATGAGGTGGGCACTCTCTCTTGACAAAAGAAGTCGGCCTTGTACAGCTACACGGAATATATGTATCGGTATATATAGAGAGGGATACACAGAGATAGATTTTTCAAACAAGAATGGTAAAATGAAAAAAATTAGGTAATTTAATCAAAATATTTGTCTTTGTCGTGTCGCGTGCGTGTACATACGGTATGCAATAAAAACTCGTGATGTGGCGTTTTACACGGGACATGATCGGTTTATCTATTTTTGTGCTCCCGAATTTCCTGGTTTGCCCTTCCTTTATCTCTACAGTCCGTCCCCCTTCTTTTCTTTCATTTTTTTATTGATAAATCAAGAGCTTATTTGGTAGATATTAAAATTGGATCAAAATCGAAAAATTAGTCGTTATTGTTGATTTTTATTCGACGAGTGGGACCCAATAACGACTATATTTTCAATTTTAATTATATTAAAATTCCTCCCAAACAAGTTCTAAAATAAAGATGTAAAATGAATCGAACCGTCTTTCTCAAAACAAGCTTGGCCCGAGTTTCAAAGAAGCTTGTTCTGGCAAGTCACTTTTTAGTTTTTCCTTATTTTTAGGAATAATTTAACAAAATTTAGAAAAATAAAATTATCGAACCTAGTTTAGGAATGTGTATTTCTTTTCAAAACTATTGGAACTAGACATGTTTAATTCAATTCCATTATTATTTTTTACAATATCTCAATTATATTGAATGTTGAGCTAATTTATATAAATTGACATGTATTAATATGTATTCATAATAGTTCATACTCTTGTGGCATTAAACAAAAAGCACACAAGCAAAACTAAATTATTTTATCCAATAGTTAATATTTTAAAAAAATCCTCTATAAATCAATGTCTAACTTCAATGACAAGCAAAACTTTTTCATGTCAACGATCAGAGTTTGAATCCTATTTTGGGGGTAGAATGATTGTTTAAAAAAAAATGATTGTGATACACGTACATCATAGCTTACAAATTGTTGTACATATACATGATGTTGTGAGATATAATTAGATCAAAAAAATTCAACTAAAAAAAAAAAAAACTCGTCATTTCTTTGACACTTCATCAATTTGGAAAATTTTCTATAATTCCTCATGTACAAGTAGAATTAATCAAAACAATACTAACATTTCAGTTAAATTTGTAAAAAAAAAAATAATAATTAGTACGTTATTAATTCCTTTATTCATTAAAAAAATTATAAAAATCTTTTCTTTTATCGCCCTTGAACAATTTCGCTTAGCTTTTTTCGAAAAAATGAGGTGGGCACTCTCTCTTGACAAAAGAAGTCGGCCTTGTACAGCTACACGGAATATATGTATCTGTATATATAGAGAGGGATACACAGAGATAGATTTTTCAAACAAGAATGGTAAAATGATAAAAATTAGGTAATTTAATCAAAATATTTGTCTTTGTCTTTGTCGTGTCGCGTGCGTGTACATACGGTATGCAATAAAAACTCGTGATGTGGCGTTTCACACGGGACATGATCGGTTTATCTATTTTTGTGCCCCCGAATTTCCTGGTTTGCCCTTCCTTTATCTCTACAGTCCCTCCCCTTCTTTTCTTTCATTTTTTTATTGATAAATTAACAGCTTATTTGGTAGATATTAAAATCGGATTAAAATTGAAAAATTAGTCGTTATTGTTGATTTTTATTAGACGAGTGGGATCCAATAACGACTATATTTTCAATTTTAATTAGATTAAAATCCCTCCCAAACAAATTCTAAAATAAAGATGTAAAATGAATCGAACCGTCTATCTCAAAACAAGCTTGGTCCGAGTTTCAAAGAAGCTTGTTCTAGCAAGTCACTTTTTAGTTTTTCCTTATTTTTAGGAATAATTTAACAAAATTTAGAAAAATAAAATTATCGAACCTAGTTTAGGAATGTGTATTTCTTTTCAAAACTATTGGAACGAGACATGTTTAATTCAATTCCTTTATTATTTTTTACAATATCTCAATTATATTGAATGTTGAGCTAATTTATATAAATTGACATGCATTAATATGTATTCATAATAGTTCATACTCTCGTGGCATTAAACAAAAAGCACACAAGCAAAACTAAATTATTTTATCCAATAGTTAATATTTTTAAAAAATTCTCTATAAATCAATGTCTAACTTCAATTACGAGCAAAACTTTTTCATGTCAACGACCAGAGTTTGAATCCTATTTTGGAGGTAGAATGAGTGTTTAAACAAAATGATTGTGCTACATGTACATCATAGCTTACAAATTGTAGTACATACATATGATGTGGTGAGATATGATTAGATCAAAAAAAATTCAACCAAATAAAAAAAAAAAAAAAAAACTCGCTATTTCTTTGACACTTCATCTATTTGGAAAACTTTCTATAATTCCTCATGTACAAGTAGAATTATTCATAAAAATACTAACATTTTAGTTAAATTTGTAAAAAAAAATAGTACGTTATTAATTCCTTTATTCATTAAAAAAATTAAATTAAATTGGAAATTTTCTATACCTTTTTTTTTTCCTTCTGTATCAAGGTTAGAAATGTAAATACAAAGAATGAGCACCACTACTAATTGGATTTTTTTTTTTTTTTTGGTTCGTGTGTCCCACAAGTGAGGGAAAGGTACTTTTACGCGGCTCTCACGCGGTGTTCTTGACATTTACTTCTGCCACGTAGGATCAATAATGATTATCTGTTCTTGTCACAAGTTGGCCAAATCTTATGGATTCGGGTAACGGACCATGGGTTGTCCGAATCAAATATGGTCTATCCACGGGTAAAGTTTGAATTCGGACCTGATACCCATGGGCTGGGATAGGATGGGCTTGATTGTATAGAAAGGCTGGAGACCAAGGCATGATCCAGCCCAGATTTACATTTTATCGAACTTGTATTTTAAATTTATTCGATAATAAGCTAACTTTAATCTATTTAAGGCATTCGGTATGTTTGATAGCCATGTGAGTTGCAGTAGGAGAGCACTGTTGCCTATGAGATTTTGCCAATAAATCGTTAACATATTTTGTATGCAATAAGAAAATGCCACCATGAAAATATTTCACTTCAATGCCTAAAACTAATTGAGGCGACCTAGATCTTTAAGAGCGAATTCTGAGCTAAGCGTATGAATAATTTGTTGAATGGCAGAAAAATTTGATCATGTAATAATCACATCTCCAACATATAGTAGAATAATAATAAAATCATGATTAGTTTTAAGATAAGTAGTGAAGAGTCCAACCAAGAGCGAGGGGGTTGTTTAATTCCTAGATAGAGTGATGAAGTTTGCAAATGTAATACGAAAATTTCTAATCAATGAAGTATGGAGGTTGTTCCATATATTAAGTTTCTTTGAAGTATGAACAGAGCCGGACCTCAAGTGAGGCCTAGGAAGCCGTCGCCTCAGGCCCAACTCTTTAGGGAGCCTAAAATAATTTATGTTTTATTCAACCAAAAACTCTCTCTAATTGCATTTCGTCTCTCAATCTTTCATCTTCTCTCTGCCTGTCGGTCGGAAACGTTAGAAAAACACTTCATTGTTGAGAATTGAAACATTTTTTTTCAACATGATCTCTATGAATTTTTTTCATCAAAAAATTGGTACACATTTCTCATTTTTGTTAAATTGCAATGCAAGATGAAGGAATTTGCTCAAATTTGGATTCTGTTTGTGCTGCTAGCAGAGTTTTACCCAGATTAAATATAATTTTACTGCTAATCCAAATTTAAGATATCTAAAATTATGTGAACTTTTGTCTCTATTAACTGTGTTTGGATTCAATGCTTAGTATTTAGGCTTCTTTCTTTGGTTTTCTATGTCAAAAAAATTGATTGCTTACTACGATTTAAGGGCTCAAATTCTAAAGTTTGCCTCAAGTTCCGTAAAACACAGGACGGCCCTGAGTATGAAGAAGTTTATTTTTTATGTCCAATTGTCTTATCTCCCAATTTGAGTTGATTGCAATAGAAAGAACATATGAATAATTATATAGGTTTAAATATCAAACTAAAAGTTTTATCGAAATTTAAACCTAGAATTTGAGCAAATTCTTTGACGACTAAGCAAGCTTTAAAACATTAAACACTCCCATCTACTAGGGATGGCAACGTGGCGGGTTCGGGGCGGGGCACCCCTATCCCGCCCCGTCCTGCCACTCCCCCATGCCCCGCCCCGTCTAATATGATAAATTCATTTTTAGGCAAAAACAGTTGTGTTATCAGGACAAGAAAAAGTACATAAGTATAACTGTAATGAAGAGCTTGAAGCTTTTTTTTTTTTCAGGCCATTGTCCCAAAACTGATTTTTGAGAGCGGCCTTAGGGGTTTGGTTCACTTTGATGAGAGTTGGTGGCAAGTAACGCTAATTTAGAATTCAAAGAAGGATTTTTATGAAGTTTTTTACGAGTTATCATTGGGTGATTAGTTTTAAGAATGAGAAATGTTGGAGAGTGTAGTAGGAGTAAATGGGGAAGTTGGTAGTGAGGATGAAGAGGATTATGAAGTGATATTGGCATTTAGAGACCAATGTTTGATTCAGTTTCTTGAGATTTTTTGGGACATTGTGATATTTTCATGGGTGACGGTGAAAAACGTTGGAAGAATTTGGGTTTACAAAACATCAATTGATATATGTAATTTCTACACCTGTTTAGACCATCGAATATTTAGACATTTTATTAAATTAATTACTAACTAATTTGTTTAAATATCGATTATTGTTGGAAAAATACAGATTTGGGTGCACTTGGATGAAATTGGAGTGAAAGATGTGAAATTTGAGCTTAACTGGAGTTGATTCAAACAGGGGAAGGACGATTTAAGATTTCTTGAACTCAATTGGGTGAAACTGAAAGTTAAAGGACTGAAAGTAGAATAAAAAAGAGATGGGCTAAGCAATTGATGAATTCGAGGACTAAATTGTAAA